TTATATAACCTGATGTGCTGAAAATATTAGTAGGACTGCCAAATCAATTGACCAAATAATAATAATTGCCTAACGTTATGGATCACTGAAACTTTGTGGGGTTTTTTATGAATCAATAGATAACTTATAGACAACCGAGATTGGTGTGAATGACAAATTCACATTTAGAAATAGCTATTTCTGAAACATGTCACTTTTATATTTTTTTAAATCATGTATGCAATCACCAAATAAAATTTATATTAACCAATAAATTTAACCAAACAATATTCTGGACTTTGCGGTGCAGAGATATGCCTTATTTATGCTTATAATGTACCAAAATTCCCTATGTGGAATTAAACAAATATGTCTTTAAAATATAGTGTCTGACTGTTGAACATCGCTTATTTTGCTGTATTGCATTTGATATATCCTCTCCCATGGTAAGTTATGAATTTCAAAACAACTCTATAAGCCCATTCTCCAATGATTGGAAAAAAATTGGAAGATCTACCTGAGCAGAAAAATACTAATGTGTAATAGCTAAGAAATCAATCCATAACAAAATCTGAGTTTAAAGGCTTAATTTTAAGTCTTTTAAGTCAGATATTTAATTACTGTGTTACTTATTGTTTCATAGCTAATCTACTAACCCTTAAATTACACAGATGTTGAATAATCAGTCAACTGGTGGTTACGTGAAGCAAAAGCACCACTTTGCTACTTGAAAACGGAATTCGAATTGCTATAAATTCTAGAACTGTTGGAAAATTCTGCACAATATTCTTGAAAATGAACAAGGAAATCCGGACTTTACAATGTGTGACAAAATAATTTGTTATTTATTAACTTCCTGACTGTGTCTTTTACATCCTTGTTCCTGAGGCTATAGATCAGAGGGTTAAGCATGGGAATGACCACGGTGTAAAAGACAGAGGCCACCTTGACCATGAGCCATGAGCTTTTGGAGTTAGGAATGCAGTAGAGAAACAGGATGGTTCCATGGAAAATGGTAATGGTGGTCATGTGGGAGGCACAGGTGGAGAAGGCTTTATGGCGCCCCCCAGGTGAAGGCATCTTCATGACAGTGATAAAAATGAAAACATAGGAAGTAAGAATGATCATCAGGCTGCTTATTTCATTGAATGTAGCAGAAAATGAAGTGACCTTCTGGCTAATGTAGGGGTCAGAGCAGGACACAGCAACAATGGCACCATGCTCACAGAAAAAGTTATTTACGATATTATTTCCTCTGAAGGATAATTCCAGTAGAAAATAGGTGAGTATCAGGGACCAGACTATACCCCATGCATAGGGCCCAGACACTAAGGATGCACAGAGCTTTGGGGACATGACAACTGTGTAGAGCAGAGGGTTACAAACTGCCACAAATCGGTCATAGGCCATCACTACCAACATGAAGGTTTCTGTCACGATGAAGATGCAGGCAAAGAAGAACTGCACGATGCATCCTGTGAAGGAGATGGTCCTGTCCTCCACAACCAAGTTCTCCAGCAGTTTGGGTGTCACTGTGGTGGAATAACAGAAATCGACAAAGGACAAGTGGCTGAGGAAAAAGTACATGGGGGTGTGGAGTTTGGGGTTGATCCTGATGATCACGATCATGCCCAGGTTCCCCAGCACAGTGACCGTGTAGATGGTCAGGAACACCAGGAACAGGGGCACCTGGAGGTCGGCATATTCTGAGAAGCCCAAGAGGGTAAACGTGACTCCAGCAGTGTGATTTTCTTGGTTCCTGGGACAAAATAGGAATGTTGATTGAGAGAAGTGAGAAGAAAAATTGGAGAAAGTAGATTAAAATGAGGAAATGTTGAGTGGCTTAATGATTGTTCATAAAGAGTGCTATGGAAAACACTGAGTTTCAACCACTACATTATTTCCAAAGCTTGAGTTCACTAGTATCACAACTATGAATATGAAATTGGTGTGAATGGAATAATAAAAATTGGGAGTTCAGAGAGCAAAAAAATAAATCAGTTGGCCCTGGTATATTTTAAACAATCAGACTTCGTATCATCAGAGGCAACTGGCTTCATGAACAGGGCCAGACCAGCTTTTTATATGATTCAGAGTTCACTAAAAATGCTTATCTTAAAAGAAATAGTTATCATAAATTTCAACAATTTCTTCCCTTCCTCACCTTTTAAACTTGAAAACTTAGTACTCAAATAAGAAAATCAGAAAATTAATGACTCACTGAGATGGCCATTACTTTTTTACCATCGTTTCTATAGCTATTTCTAAATTTCCCTTTCCAATGACCTTCCTACACTTACTTGCACATTTCTCTCCAAATATCTTAGATCTATCTTGTAAAAGAATAATACACTTGATCATCCAGTTACCTACTTAATGAAAATTATAAAAATCTGTGCCTCTTCTTGATGTATTATAATATCAGGTATTCAGAATGATTTGGAGTGAAAATGTACAATAATAATATATCCAGACCATTTTTATTTTGCTGGAGATATTTCTATGACGTCGTGCTCAGGTGGTTAATTTAATCTATGTAGATCTCCCAAATATTAGACACTTCTTTGTGAGAAATTGCCATGGTTTTCATTTGGTTATCAATTATTTTCCATTAAATTGATTTTCATAGACAATGTACACTATCTTTGCATTGCCTTATTCTCTTAGTTTTATCATCTCTTCCAACAATTTTATCTTCACTTTAGTTATTCTTCATAGCCATGGTTATACTATTAAGTATGTTGTTATCAGTAACCATAAACTCTGAAAAATATCAATTTCTTGAAACTTCTGTAAGAATATAATACTTTTTTATCATTTACCATTTTATCATTGTTGCTACACAGTAAAACACAATTAACGAGTGCAAATGTTAAACGCTAGCAGATAGTAGGTGTTCAATAACACTTGAGTAAATGAAGGTGTATGTGAGTGAATGAACTCTTGGCATGTAATATACCTGTATGGGGTAAAGTTTTATAATGATAGTAAGGAAGTTAGACTTGTCTATTAAATTAGGACCACACTGTAAACTCACAATACACTGAGACACATCTTTAATTCTATAAAACAAAGAGCTGTAGTCAAACCTCAAGGGACCATACGCATCCTAAATTAGTATAAAATGAGAACAGTTGGGGGAAAATGATGCATTGTATTACTTTTTTTAATGTTCTGAGTTCCTTCAAAATAACTCAACTGTCCTTTTCCATCATCGTAATCTAGAATCAGATCATGACCGCTTACTCAAAGCCAAAATAGCTCTAGAAATAAAGGAAATATAATTCCACATAGAATTCATTAAAAATCATATGCTTTATCACAAGCTGAAATTAAATGCTCTATATTTTCACTGAGTTATGATGATTTTATCTTCCAACAAGATATACAGCACTTATGTT